CACCGAGGACAAAATGTCCTTAAACATCACCGAGGACAAAATGTCCTGACGCTCAATAATCCAGGAAGATGAATCTAACGAGGTTAAGTCCGGTCGTCTGCACGGATTCTTCTTTGTTCGATAAATTGTTGGATAAAAGACGCGACGTTTCAACAATCCATCCAGACGACCGGACTTGACCTCGTTGGAACAAGAGAAAAGAGACTCGAACTATTTCAGTTGTTAGAAAAACACAATTTGAACGTGTAAACTTAAGACGGCAGAAATCTAGAGTCACTTTTAGGAGTTTCGTGTTTTGTTAAACGCACACAGAAAAGGGCGTCACCTCTGAAAAGACTCCACCTCCTGCAGAAACCTCTCGCAGCTGCTGATGAGAAGATCCACGCTGAGAAGACATGAGAGCGGTGTTAAACAGCTGTTTACAGATGTGTTTACGGATGTGTTTGAGCACCAACCCCTGTCTGCTGCGAGCCAGCAGGACGAGCTGCAGAGCCTTGGCCTGGAGGCGAACGTGGTGGATGGTGGCCACCTGTCTGCTCTCCAAACCGCTGTACAGAAACTCCAGCTTGTAGGTCTCCTCCAGGATCTACGGCCGTGAAAAAAAAAAACCCAAACGAGTCGTTTTACTTGGAGTTCTGCTGCGGTGACGGCGCGGTCGCGTGTGCTGACCTGCTGAGCCGCTGCGGTGGCGGTGACGTTCTGTTTGAGGCAGAGAGGGACGGCCATGTTCCACAGCTTCTCCTGCAGAGCCTGAAACGACACTTCAAGGTTCTTACTCCTAAAACCCTGAGACCAAAACTTTTGCACACGCGCTCCTACCTTCATGAGCAGCAGCTGGCAGCGCAGGTACGTAGCACAGAAATCAGCAGCTCCTGCGAGTTCTGTCTGCAGCTCACCGAGCCGCTGCAGGTCCCTGACACACACAGGAAGTGTTTAACGTTGATTTAAAGAAATGCCTGACCTCACATGAAGCAACAATTAAACGTTGGGTCGCCTGAAGCTCCGCGCTCCTCCATCTTTGTGGGCGTCACGATCCAGTCGCCCCTGGTGGGGCCTAACGAGGCTCTTCAAAGGTGAACGCGAGTCCCTGAAACGGTCGAAACGCTTCCTGTGAGCGTACCGTACGGTGAAGTTCAGCAGGTCCTGAGCTCCGGGTGACTCCAGGTTCTGGACGGTGCTGACTCTGTCGAGACTCTGCTGGAGGAAGAGCTGGGCCGACTCCACGGAACCAGAACCAGAGCTCGAGTCCACGGAGTCCAAACTGTAGACCTGCTTCCTGCCCGGCAGCTGAAACACAAAACGACCACAGGAAGTGGACTCTTAACACAAACGAACAGTCGACGCTGACGTTTTAATTTGTTCAGTCTCGTTCTTTAAACACAGAACGATTTAGTCTGAACTTCTCCTGCAGATTTTAAGAACTTCATTTCCACTCAGAGAACAAAAACAAGTTGCACAAAACATCAAAAGACTTCCCCTGAAATGTAACATTTAAGCTTCATCTTTGTTTACGTGAATATTTAAAATAAGTTGGTTTCAATAAAACTCAGGAGTGGTTTGGGTTTTGAAGAAGCTGCAAAGTAATTTATCCATCGCAGTTTCTGTAAAAACAGAACCGTACGTGCAGAAGTTTGATTTTTATAAATGTTATTGCTTTAGCTTTATTTTCAAACAGAAAAGGTCAATTCTAAACTGAATGAACATCTGCTGAATGTTCAGAGGCGTGATGCTGATGTGGGTCTGAACGGCTGGAATCGGACCGGTCCGGTTCTCACTCTGAGCGGCGGCACGAGGTGCGACAGACTGTCCCTCAGGTAGGCGTAGTGTCTGAAGGTGTGGTCAGAGAACAGCGCCGGCATGGTGGGACACGACTTTGCAGCGTTGAACACCAAAACCAGAACCGCGATGTCTGAGAAAAACGACCGGCGTCAAGAAGAACAGGAAGACGCACGGTGTCCCTTTAAATCACCAGATTTTCATTAACACGTCTCTCATTTTGGCTCCTGTACCACTTTAGTTCGTTTATTTGATTTTCTGTGAAGGATACAGGCCGGATCGTCCATGTCCGGTTCTGGTGTGTCGAAATACGGGTGTGTGCTGAGCAGTTCAGGGACCAGCGGTAACACCAGCGTCGGGTGGCGTGAACCCAGAAACTTCAAACACCTGAGGGAAGACGAGCAGACAGAACTTTTACTGAACCCAGGTTCTGAAGGTTCTGAAGGTGAAGACAGTTTATGGTCCATTTTATCCTCCTTTATGACCATCCTGGACCTTCACTGATCCATTTATAAACTCTGCAGTCGGGTGAACGTTTTAAAGCTAAACTGGAGCTACCTGAGAGCACGACGACGTTGTTGAGACACAACTACACACGGAAACAATCCATGACTTGGAGAGTTGGCATAAAGTTACTTCCATTAACAAACAAACAAACAAAACATTTCTGAAAAATGTTTAACGCAGGCCTGACACGATACAAATTTTGCTGGGCGATTAATTGTCTCAGAAATTATTGCAATAAACGATAATAGTTTGAAATTTGACAATAATTAGTAATTATTGTCAAATTTAAGAAGTGTTGGTTATTTTTTGTGTGTAGTGTCTTTTTGGACCACCAGATGGCAGAATAAGACTGTTTGAAAAGAAGGATGGATAGTGAGGGAGCGAGCATTTAAGAAAAATGGGAGGGAGGCCCCTTGACGTGACATGGGTTGCCTCTCTTTGGTTCTCAAAATGGCGGACGCTCGGTGTGGTTTGAACTCTTTAGCATTTTTCACACAAAGCTTTTAATAAAAATCAGTAATCAAGTTCTCAGCTTCTTTTTGCAGAGAAAAACAACTTTTTACACGAAGGCACGAGTTTCAACCGTGAATTTTGGAGCTTCGACAAGACGGAGGTTTGTCCCTGAGGTCAGCCTGTTAGCTTAGCTCGTAGCTTAGCTTCTCAGCTTAGCTGCTTTTAACGAACCAAAAACACGATTTAGGACGGTTAAAACCGATTTTAAAGAGAAAGGGAGGGGTCAGTGAAGAACACCGGAGTCGAGCCTTTTTTCATCCAGTGTCTTCAGTAGAAAGAGAGACACGAAGAAACGATAAAGCCGATAAATGAAAATGAGGTCGATAATTTTCATTTATCGTGCGATTAATTGATTTATTGTTTATCGCGACACGCCTCGTTTAACGGCGTCCCTTTGTAACAGCAACAACAACTTTCTTCTGTAAAGTCCCAAAAGAATCCAAGACTTCCCGTTTCTGATCATCTAATCAAACAAAATTATCAAAAGTTTTCATGTCTAACAATTGTTGCAATCAGAAATTTGCTAAAATTATAAAACGTTGAATGTGACATCATCGAACTCTTAAAACATTCAAATTTACTACAACATAAATCATGAAACTTTATCTGTGATTGTGTAAAAAACCGTTAAAGACGTGGAAACAGCAGCTCGGTCGTGTAAAATCAGAACTTTCTGTGACCCGTTTAAAGTCTGAACGGTGGTTCTGGTGTGAAGCCTGAGCTGCAGATCCAAACAGGACTGGGTTAATCAACTGGTTTCATCAGAATCCCGTCAGTATCTAGCCTTCTTCTGCGGCCCATGATGAACTCTCCTGATGAAGACGTTTAGAGCCGCGTCGTTACCGACGACTTTTTAAAAACTGCTGCCGATGCAGATGAGTTGGTTCCAATTCATTTATAAACTCCAGTTTAGGTTCCGGTTCCTAACTTCATCAGCTGGACAGAATCATTCTTACTTCCAGACGGAGTTGCGGTCCGTGGGATACTTGTTGAGGTTCTTGAGCAGCTCCAGCAGAGCCAGCTGGACGCACTCTTTAGTGGAGACGTTGGTGTAACAGAGTAGTTCATGGAGGGCTTCTCTGATGTCCCGAGACGAGTCCTGGACACACGGGGACCTGATCAGTGAGTCCGCTCACGCCACACCTGGGTGGTGTCAGCGAGCACGTACCTCTAGGACGGCCAGCACCGTGTCCAGCTGATCCTCTCGGAGCGTTATGTTGGTGGAGATTTCTCTGAGCACGTGGATGGACTGCAGCCTCACCTCCTCGATCTCATCGTTAAACATGTCCACCAGGAAGTCCAGACACTTCTCTGCGAAGCTCGGAGACGAGCGGGCGAGCTGGCACAGCGCTTCCACCGCCGCAATGCGCACCTCTGAAGCAAAAACAGCAAACGAACGTCTAACGTGTGAAAACTCAAGAAGAAAAGGAGCATTTTGATGAGAACTTTAAAAAAGCAGCTTAACCCCAACCCTTCAGGACGTTTCGTACCAAACATCTCGTCCTCCAGGCCATGAACGAACGCCCCACAGGCGCCTGAGGCGATGAGGTTCACCGTGTTGGTGTCCAGTCTCTCCTTGGGAGCGTCATCGGCCCACTTCCTGCCCGAGGAGAACTCTCCGGAAGCAAAGAGCTCTTTGGCTCGTTCGTGGGCCGTGCGTTTCCTCTAAACACAGAACGGTTAATGAAGCACGGTGAACGGAGCTGATGATCACATTTAACGAGTTACTTTGGTCGGTGGAGAGAAAAACTCACTCTGAGGTCTGACATGAGCTTCTTATCCAACGTTTGCTCCAGGAAGTGAGGACTGACCTGCAGCATCGAACCCTGACAAGAAAAAAAAAAACTTTCAAAAGCTGTGACCGAGTCCGATCAAGCAGACTTTCAGACCAAAAAAGACAAACTTTACTTCTTTTATTGAGTCCGTTTCATCTGAAAGGGCCACACAACAAAAGAAATATGATGCAATGACAGATGTCACTTTGATTAAAAAATAAAAGCTCTATGTTGTCTTTTTTTGCTGCTAAAAGCTGTTTAAAAACCATAAACGGAAAATGGATGCATGTGAAAAGGAAGGATAATATGGTGCTTCAACGAGAATATTTGTTTCATCTTTGCTGAGGGAGTTGTTTTTTAATTATTTGGCTTTAAAATTGCTCCTGATGTTGAGAAGAATGAATCGTTTCATTCCAGTGTAAAACAACAGCCTGTTGATGTTGAAGCCAACATTCATGTTCGTGTTAGAAACTGTTCAAAGTCTAAACTTAAAGAGAGATCATTTGAAATGAGAAGAAGTGCGAGTTTCTCTCACCAGGGTTTTGGCGGCCTGCACTCGAACCATCCAGGAGCCGTCGCTGACCATGTGGCTGATCTTCCCGAAGGCGTCGTCCACCAGTCTGATCTCCTCGTTGGACGACGGGATGGGCACGATGCTGATCGGACAGAGACAGGTTCTAATTAATATCCAGTTTATTACTGACCAGCTGGAGAAACGTTTTATTTATTTACTTTGGTACTTCAAAGTCTAATCAAAGTGGATGAAGACATATTTCTTTAGAAATATCTACTCAGAGTTGTTTTGGGGGAAGTTCTCACAGAGAAGACTTTTTCAGATCTTTATTCTGAACGGTCTTTGCTAATCAAATAATAAATCAATAATGTGAAACTTCACCTTTCTGGGTACAGCTGGCTGAGCACCCAAACCATCTGCACAGCAGCAGAGCGGACCTGCTCGTAATCATCCGACAGCAACCTGCAGGCCTGAAACACAGATTATTCCCCAACGCTGTTCAGAAACACTCGCAGCTCTTCCGTTTGTCGCGGTCGTCTTCAAAACTTGAGCTCCAGTGTAAAAAGAATTGATGCTTTTTTTTTTTAGTCCCTGAACGTTTTGTTTTAAATAGCATCTTTCAAAACGCTCGTTTCTTGAAAAGATTTATCTCTCCTCTCTTAAAAAGCAAAACAAGAATGTACGAGTAAAATCAACGAGTCAGACGACTGAAATAAGTCGGAAAAGTCCGACGGCCTCACGTATAAACCGTGCACACATACATGCACACCTCAGGACATTTAAAAGCACAGATATGTTGATGTCCAAACCGTGTAGATTCTAAAACCTGTCACAGCTTAAACAGACCTACAAAGTCTAAATTAACAGATTTAAAATATTCTGTCAGGGTCCAGGGAAGACAAACAATAATTCTACCTGTTCGTAAATAATCTGATGAATCTTCATTCCTCTCTCGTGAAGCTGCAGCTGAAACAGACAAACGTGACGATTTAATAAAATAAAAGACACTGAACGAGCTGGTTTTGTTCAGCAGAGGCGTCCTACCATGGCCTTAAGGGCAGCGGTGCGCACTCTGGGGTCCTGATCTGCAAAGTAGTTGCTGATGATGCTCTGAACGTCCCTCACTGCTCCTGCAGCAACAATTGAAAGAAAAACTGGACTTTTTACGAGATCATTTTCATGGAATTGGTGAGAACAGAAATGCTTAAGATATATAAACTTTGCTTAGATAAATAAACTTTATGATTCAAATGAATCCTGACACAAAAATAAAATAAGCACAGATTTTACTGCTCCACTGTTTTATATATGTTAAGAAGAAGTGTTTAATAATAAATGATGACAAGACAAGCTGGCTTCTTATAAGGGGTGGCTCAAAACTTTTGCACAGTCCAGTACAAAGCGATGACCCAAACCTTGTGAAGAACCTGGTCCCTCGCTGTCTTTAGTCAGAGGCGTGTCCACTAAGCCGAGACATCCCAGGAGCTGCAGACACTTGTTCCTCACCCCAAAATACGTATCAGATAGATGCTAACAAGGATAAAGCAGCGAAGCGTTAAAAACTCTGTTTGCTGTTTTGACAGGAAGTGCTGAACAGGCAGGAGTACCTTGTAGGCCACCTCAACGAGCCTCAGTCTGACTGCAGGACTCTCAGGTAGCTGTGCTCCAATGGCCAGCAGAGTGTCCAGCAGCTGAGCAAGGACCTGGTGGGACTCTGCAGACACACAGGAAGACACACAGCTGAACAAATGCACCCTGTGCTGCCCGACACAGTGTGTTTTGGGGGAAGTGTCCCTAAATGTTTTCAATGCAGGTTGTTCATGTCAAAAAGCACAACTTTCTCATAACTTCCACTACAGCTCAAAAATGACTTCTACAAGTTCAAATTTTCTTATACTTTTGCTATTTTTAGGTGTAACTGGGACCCTGAGTTCACAATTTTTTTTCCACCACATGTACCACATGTGATGTGAATGACAATAAACTTGACTTGAACTTGACTTAAACTTGAAATAGCAAAGATATACAACAAAAATGTCATTAGATTACGGGCTAATCTGTTGAAAGTGTGTGAATGTGTCTTACTCTCATTGCCGAGTGTGTTAATGGCGTCATCAACAATGCAGTCAGGATTGAAGCCGTGTGTTTTGGACAGCGGACCCAGCAGAGAGGCGATCTTCAGCCTCACAGAGTTATCCGTCTCCTGCGAGAGGACATCATCATCATCATCATGAGTGTTTTTGTGTCCACGCAGTCTTAAAATAAAGAAAATAAACAGGATTCTAAGACGTTGAAATGTGTGGTTTCAGCTCCACCTTGTAGTAGTGCTCCAGCAGGATCCTGATCACGCCCTCCACGCTCTCCACCTCCACGGGTTTGCGTGCGAACTGCAGCAGGTACTGCAGGGCATCGGTGGAGTTGGTGGCTTTGCAGAGGTCGATGTGCAGAGCGGCAGACTTACTGGGTTTGGACAGGCGCAGCTTCTTGGCCGGAGCTTCTTCATGAGGAATCTGCAAGTGAACAAACGGCCTGAGCTGAAACATTGTGCAGAAACACCTCTTCAAAATAAAAACAAAACCGTCTTCAGCTGCCTGGATTATCGACAATTCAACGTTAATTTACGAGTTCTTCAATCCATCACATACAGGGATGAACCAGTCTTGATGGACTTTGTTGATAAAAATAAAACTATTTTGTCTAGTTTCTAATTATAAATGAAGTTGCAAAGATAAACCAGTTTGACATGACATTAACAGCCATGTTCTATCTACAGCAACTAATGACCAGTATATGAATGTACAAACAACAAATTCCAGAATTGACCTGTGACATGCAACATCTTTCTGTTGATCCATCAACTGGATTTTTAAACATAGAAAGAAGCAAAACTTTACGAACTTTACGAATAAATGACGGCAAACTTTTAAATTAGGATCTTCTATAAATTACTTAAACCTTCATTTTGCGCAAATACCGACTAAGAAAACAATTACAAACAAACTTTACATTGTGAAAATATTTAAACATATTGGTTCTGATATTTATTAGCGAATGTTAATTTTGGGGAGCTAACTGACTCAATCAGTCTATAATTTATAACTCGCTAGGATTCAGAATAATGCAGGTAAACAAGTCATTTAGTCTAACACGAATAAAAACAGCTCAATTAGCACAAAAAGGCACAAAAAGTCAGTTTTATTTTGCAACTGACTGCCTGTTGTTGTTTGTTAGCCTAGCGGCTAGTTAGCATCTTTTAGCTAAGCGACTTGTTAGCGTTTATTAGCTTAGTAGCTAGTTAGCATATTTAGCTTAGCAGCTAACTAGCGTCGCATTCTTCAATTTCTAACTTCGGCTCAACCACAAGTGACGAAACGAAAGATTTCTTCTACTCACCTGAACAACTTTAGAAAATTCCTCATAAACTCGTTTTTTCAAATGTGCTGCCATGACGTTCGGAGAAATTAGCTAACAAGGCTCTGCCATTCGGCATACAAATTGTACCTCTACACTTCCCGTAGCTACTGTTAAAAAAATCGTCTGACGTCACACTGACATTTAACTCTTTTATTTTCAGCGTCTATAATTTTACTTTCATGTGGATTATTTAGTTGTTACGAAGACTAGTTATTATTTTTGATACATTTATTTACTTGGTTTTTAACTATTTAGAAAAACTATTTTTTTTATTTTGCGGCTGCAGTTAATGAAGTTTTTGTGTCGAATACATAGTGAAGGTCACTTGTTTTTATGTTTTTATTTTATTTTAAGAAAATGTCTTGTAAAGCACAATTTTAGAGACAATATGTTTCAAATAAACAAATAGAACAAGAAAATATGTTTAAACTACTAGAATTAGTTCCACTAGCATTTTTGAAGAAAAGCCTTAAAAGTCATCCTCTTAAAAACAAGGAAAAATTATCTCTCTTTTTTTTTATTTTATGCTGTCAGTTTTCACACAAATATTACATTTCAAGAGTCAAAATAAAGAGGAAGAATTTTACATTTCTATCATTTTGTGACAAAGATTTTCACAGAATTCTCTGCACAGTACTTATTAAAACTCATAATTATACAACGGGTTCTCTTATTTGCTGATTGTGAAACAATGAAAGAAAAAAATGGATTTAGACAACGGTGGATAAAAAGCAGCAAACCAGAACTTTTAGGGGGGAAAAGGTTTAATTTATCAACAAATATATGCATTGAAAATATTAATAATACTAATACATGTTGTGAGAACTTCCTGTTCAAAGCTGTGGTAATTTGACCATTTACAGAAGATGAAACTTAAAAATATAACGTAAAAATCAAAGTACTGTACGGCTTGTGGAAGTATATTGTATCAAAAGTTAACATTTTAAATTGTATCAAACAGACGTCACCCTCCTGCTGCCCTTGGGTCCAAACAAAGCTTTAAAACTGAACTCTTGTGGGTCATTTTGACCTAAAGGTTTGAAAGTTTGCAGCCTTTTTTAAACATAATATGCGTCTCACCCCATCAAATCAGAGATTAAGTCAGATTTGGTCAAAATAACTAATTTTCTATTTTTTAAGCTACATTTTCATGCTCCGCTCTTCAAGATATCCCAAAGATGTGGTCGGCTTTGTCTTGCTAATCAGGATAACTCCTGGGAAACGGGTCTGAATCGTACTGTCAGCGTATTCTAAAGAGTCGTTCGAAAGAGGAAACCTCAACCCACACTTGGAGATCAGAATGTCCCAGCTGGTGTTGAAAGAAGCTTCACTTGTGTGCATGGAAACGTGTGGGCTCTTCAGCTTGGAATCATCGTTGGTTGGACGTGATGGGCCACATAGTTTTATTTCAGCACCTTAAGCTGTTTCAAGATACGTTCCTCAAAGTTTAAAACAACAACAATCTTTCAGGCTTCTGTGAAATATAAAACCACGTTCTGTTTGAAGGTCCAGACCGTGCAGTACGGAGGTTTCTGTGATAAATGCAGATAAACGCAGAGTTCGGGTCCAGAGATGGACGGTCACAAAACCTCCTGCAGCTCCATGTCAGCCGCTGACCTCTGCTCCTTCTTGTGGTCTAACTTCCACGTGAAGAATCCCACGATGCCGACCATGAGCGGCAGAGCCACGCACAGAAGGATCCGGCTGACGGGCAGCTCCACGGGACACCCCTCTGTGACCGAGGGCCCCACATTCTGCTCCACGGGGGCCGCTTGGTACACAAAGGAGGATCTGAAGTCCAGAAACGCGGCCCTGGTGCTGCCTGTGGTCACCTGACACCTCCACCTCCTGTTGTCGTCCTCCGCCTGCAGCTCTGTGAGCAACGTGACGATGCAGCGAGAGTTTTCAATCAGCTGGTACCTGCGGGGGGGTCATCAAAGACACTGTGGTTAGACTTGTTATACACCTGAAAAATGATGTGAAATCTTTTATCTTCTTCTCTGTGTGGACCGAGTTCGTTACAGAAACTTTCGTTGGCATGAAGACACTTTTCAGGCAGCGACGATAATGAACATGAAAACCCTGCTGTATAAAAATAACTCTTTTTTTTGTTTTGTTTAAGCAATTTTCTTTTAACCTGATGCGCAAAAATAAAATAAAACAAGAAAAAAAAGAAAAGAAACTGACCAGATTAACAATGCCATGTGTATTTACAGAAGTTTCAGCAGAATTTCTGCAAGAACTCGTAGAGTTTGAAAAACTACGTTCATGCTCTAAATGATAGGATTATTAAAGTGTCCTTTGAAAACCCTCCTGAATAACTGCTTGGAAAAATGACTTATTTTTAGGTGAAGTAGAGGAAAAGATTGTGGAATCACTCTTTAAGTTGCAGTTTTGAAACAAGCATCAGATTAAATCTAAAATTAGTCTTTAGTCAAAACAAAAGCTGATGAACAAACAGGATTAAAATGATTCGTGGCGCCAACAGCAGAGATGTTCGCTGAAGTAAAGGAGAGGATCAGAAACTTATTCAAGAAGGTAAATCATCATCGAACAATGTTGGTTGTTCCCAACAAGCTGAGTCTAAAAGCTACAAACAAAATGGGACGGTTGTGAAAGGGAAGTGATCTTTGGATCAAGGAAGGCATCGAATTGTCAACTTAAAGAAAAAAGGCTTGAAAATAGAAACGCACAAGAAAACAAATGAAAACAAGTGAAACCAGAGTCGGTGTCTGTGACCGAACTGTAAGTACTGTAAGTACTGTAAGAACTGTAAGTACCGTAAGAACTGTAAGTACTGTAAGAACTG